AATTGATTCAAGCCCCTGGCCAGTGGGGGCACGGTGAGCAACACCTTTGTGTGATTTGCGTTGTACGGACGGAGGCCACACTCGACCACACGACAACAACATGGCAACCGAAGCAGGTAGCAGCAGTGTTAACCAGCGCCTTCAACTTTAAAAGCAGACGTTTGGAGTCATTTTATATTCCAGTGTAAACACAGGAAAAAGACCAAAGTAAGGTAGTGTGCAAGCTGTGCCAGGCAGTACTAAAATACTGCAATGACACAACAAATTTGCGCAACCACTTAAGCTGACACCATGCAGATGCTCTGCAGCAACCCACGGCTAAACCTGTGGATTCAAAACAGACCCAACTCAACAGATGCTTCCTTTGCAAACTGCCGCCAAACTCTGCCTGCACACAGAAGACAACAGAGTCTGTGGCCGTCTTCATATGTAAGGACCTACGACCATTAGAGGTGTTGAAATTTATCAAATAATCGATGCATCATGATGCAGATATGGACGATGCTGCATCGATGCAGTGGCCGACCATAATCGATTATAACGCAATGATGTCGCTCGTTAATTTTCTGGCCGCGGCATAAACATTCAAATGAAAAATAACATTCTCAGTAGCCTAACCCGTTTCATCTAGACCAGTACTTCTCAAATAGTGGGGCGCGACAGGCAGGGGGGACTGACGGAGGAGGAGAGATGGAGAAGCAGCAGGAAATACGACGAAGCCAACATAGCCTTTAAGTTTACCGTGAATACGGTCGGAAATGAGGAAAGACCTGTGTGTGTTTTATGTTTAAAAACTCTGGCAGCGGACAGCATGAAACCAAACAAATGAAGACGGCACTTGGAGACCTTACACCCCAGTTATGTCAATAAGCCACTGGACTTTTTTCACCGGATACTCGATGCGTATCGCCAACAGGCCGGTCATTTAGTGAGCGCGGCATCAGTAAATAAAAACGCACTGTTAGCCTCGGACAAACACCGCCACATCGCAAGGTGCAAAAAACCATCACACAATAGCAGAGGAGCTAATACTCCGGCAGCATTGGACATGGTCACAGTCATAGGTGAGAAAAGTGCTGAGACACTGAATACTGTCCCTCTGTCCAATGACACGATCGGGAGACGTACGTGTGTGTGTGTGTGTGTGTGTGTGTGTGTGTGTGTGTGTGTGTGTGTGTGTGTGTGTGTGTGTGTGTGTGTGTGTGCGCTGTCTGCTGTGTTCAGACTGTTAAATAAAAAAGATTGTTTATATCTTACTACTTGTATTTTTGGATGAAAACAACCATATGAAGTAATATAGAAAACTGTATTATATTGAACTATACAGTATCTTAATGTATTCAGTCAAGTCAAATATCTTATATGGCTTTAATAGAAAAATTGTTTTGAAGCATCGTGATGCATCGAAGAATCATATCGCTGACATGATAATCGTAATCAAATCGAATGGGGAGATCAGTGACAACACCTCTAACGACCATACAGTGTCGTGGAAAACTGGGGTTTTAAGAAGATGGTATCAACACTTGAACCACGATACGCCATACTAACACGCAAACACATGGCGGAGATCGCCACCCTGGAGCTGTACACAGGTAACGACAGCGGTTTTGTAGTCGTTGAAGTCGGCACTGAATCGCTATCGAAGCATTTAAATCAATATCGAATCAAAATCAAATCGTGACCTAAAGAATCAAAATCGAATCGTGAGGTTCTTAACAATACCCAGCCCTGGTTAACGTTGTTAGAACGTACATATTAATAATTCCAAATCCTACTGTCCGAGTTAATCGTCTGCTATGTTAAGTTAAAGCTCCTGATTTATGTGCCCAGCAAACACTGTAGACCTTTCGAATGACTGACAATTGTCAATACAATTTTGTGTGAAAGGTCCAAGGCAGGTAGAAGTTTATGTTGTTAAAGAAGTGGCTCTAAAGCAGTGGATCATTTTTTTGAGCATCAACACCCCCTGGAAATGACTTGTTTCACTATCATAATTTGAACCATTCAGCCCGATAACATTTGGAAAGTCTAGGCTAAATTATTTAAACCCTTAATTCAAGCTAGCAGAGGGCTAAACAGACAGTTAGCGGCTTGGAGAAGCCTCTGGTGGACTAGTTCTACAGGCCTCACGGTGCAGAAGCTTCCAACGCTGAATCCAGTTCTTCCTTTAAAAAAAAATCTGGGATGCTTTTACCAAGCTCGACTAGCCTCCATACTTTCTGTCCACATGAGGCGCTGTGTCGCTTAACAGTTTCAGACAGCCCATTTGCCACTTCAAAACAACCTGTGGCCCTACTTCAACTGTGCAAGAGCATGTCAGAAAATCTGAACATCAGTCCTCGCATATGGAGCCAAACAAAGCAGAAATTCTGTCTGGCACTACTTGTGCAGCTCAAAACTCATGTCAGAAACTGGATTAACAGAGAAAAAGAAAAAAAAATGTAGAGCCGAAGTTTTTCCTTGCCACTGACGCAAAGTGCCTGCTCATGGTAGGAACTGTTGGGTCACTGTAAATATTATCAGAAGTACAGGCTGGACCTGCTCAAAAACAATGGATTAGCAGATGTTTTTTTAAATATCTGTATCAGCCTCAAACATCCACTGGCTCTCTTAAAACATCTGAAACAAAGATCGGTGTTCTTTTATGGCTTCATTCCTAGACACTTAACAGTACACAGTCAAGCAGCTACAGTGCCCCACTGATTCATGCCGTTACCAAGATTTGGTATCAGTTATGATAATCATCTGCTTAAGCTGCATCAAAGAACTGTATTTCTAATTAAGAGAAAGCACTTGGGGCTATAAAGTTTTGAAAAAAAAGGGACAGTCATTTTATGCACTGCATTTCATGAATGTCTTCTATTCATAGCATAGATGTTTACAGTACACAGAGTGAGTAACCAGTGAAAATTCATCAGGGCTATGGTGTATTAGCCAGGCTACTGTTGCCAACAGTTCTGAATTTTATCTAAATGTAACCTTGACAATTAAAGGCTAGTTGGGGTCAGATAAACACCAGGCCAGTTCTCTGTGCTCCAGTAGAAGTGACTCTTTAGAAATCAGAGCTCAGGTCACCTATGGTAACTTCAATGAAAATCATCTCCAACAGCCGTCGTCAGTCACATGCAGCTGTGATCCAAGTGTCCTTCCAGCCAAACGCAGCAGCTGATTTCACTGAAAATAACATCCACAGAGGAGAAACTAATCAGTCAAGCCGGCTGCTGTTGAGTTGAACTGGAGGGACAGTGAGAGGGGACTGTAGCTCATCGACTGCAAACTGAGCTCACACTGACCAGCTGACTTATGAGATGAAAAAAATAATGTGTATACACATGATTTTGCAATATAAGCAAGATTTTTATTTATTCACTGTACTACCAAAGACACATTTGTCCACATACTTTTTCAAAATTATTACTTCTCTTTTAGTGTCTTGGTAGAAGACAAGCCATGAAGCAGCCACTTAGGCTATATAGCCAAAAGTCTGGGGGCATCCAGGACTATATTTGCACCTGTTTTGGCCTAGCCTTCCTAGTTCCACTAAAGTGAAAACTTCAGACCCCCTCCAGACATGTATTACCACATATACAAATAGTCAGCTTGAAACCTGTATAATGTGTTTTTTCTACAAAAACAAAAACTTAACTTTTCGCATTAAAACCCTTAGAAATACTGGCTTTTGGGATGTCATATTTCCACTATCTTTCAGCAGAAGAATGTCAAAACATCCTTCTAGTGTCAAACTCTGCACATACACACAACAGTGTTCTTAAAACAACACTTTGGGGATGACCCCTCCCCATTTCAACATGACAATGTTTGACACACAAAGCCAACTGCATAAAGACATGGTTTGGCCTGCACCAAGCCCTGACCTCCACCCCACAGAACACCTTTGGGATGAACTGGAATGCTGACAATGGCACTGGCAACTAACTAATTACTTTCTATTTAATGGTTTTCAATTGTTTAGTCTACCAATTGTCAGAAAATAAAGGAAACGCCCAACATAACTCTGTTGTGTGTCTTATGTCTTCAAGTTGCTATTTTTGCCCAATAGGGCTGAAGCTAACAGTTTTTTTTATTAACGAGTTGATCATCAACAGATTAGTTGTTGGGTTCTGAAAATGGTAAAAAATGTTGACCAGAGCCCACGCTAACGTCCTTAAATGTCTTGTTTTGTCCACAACCCAAAGATATTCAGTCTTCTGTCATAGAGGACGAAAGAAAGCAGAACATATTAACTGAAATCTGAAATCAGAGAATTTAGACATTTGTACACAAAAAATTGCCCAATCAATTATCAAAAACTGTTGGTGATTCATTGAATAGAATCAATTAATCAACTAATTGTTGCAGCTCTACTTCTAACAAGACTGTAGGCTGTTACAGCAGCACATTAATGTCTATCAGATGTCACACATGGGATTAATGCTCAGGCACCCACATACTTCTGGCCTGCCACACAGTACTGATAAATGAGGGTGAGTAATTACAAGCATTTCAAGAGAGGGAAAAGCAGCTTATAGCCAAAAACGGCTTTCAGTCAGTGTGGCATTGACTTGAGAATCACCTGATTACAACTATCTGAAACAGCTGTTCCCATAATAACTTTATTGTGCATAATGTCAATAAAATAACCATAAAGACATCAGCTGTGCACCTGTAACCACACTCAGGTCAATCTGATAAAACACCAACCCCACTCTGTGGCATTAGGCCTCTATGTGTCAGTGCTACCAGAAAACAAAGCAGTCGTGCAGGCTTGCTGCGACCTAGAAGGCGAGGAAAAGCACATGTTGTTTCTGTCTGCACATGTGCACACACTGACAGTATGTATGCACGACACATGACCTGGAATGCAGTGATAGGGTCTGTAGTATTTAACGATGAACTGAGGATGTGAGCTGTGGTAGTCATGGTGTGCAACACTTACAGGCTGATTTCTACCTTGATTCTATGAGCGGCAGCCACACCGCAGAGTCCTGTGTTCTTACCTTGTCCAGCTCGTCGTGCAGCTCCGACAGGGTGGGTCTGATGAGCTTCTCCCCCAGCGGGGCCGCCGTCTGCCGGTAGAAATCGATGTTGGGCACGGCATCGATGGTGTTGTGGCCAAAAGTCCTCAGGTAATAGGTGTTGGTGTGGGTGTCATAGTGATAGTGATGCTGGCCCCCTGTGGATGAATGCAAGCTGGTCTCGCTCATCACCGTGTCCCCGTTCTGTAGCCCATCTGCCGGCCCCTCCGGAGAGGCCGCGCTACCCGCTCCGCTCGGATCCGCGAAGTTCACCACCCGAAACCGGCCTTTGGCTTCTTCCCCGCCGGCCCCTGGATCGGAACCCGGGCCATCTGAGGGAGCGGTGGGAGTCGCCTTGTCGCTGGATGGGACGGTGGTGGAGGCGTCGGAGCTCGGTGACTTATCTTCTGTGGCTCCCGCTGCCTCAGCCACAAGGTCCACCTGGAACCGGCTCTGGCTGGGCGTCGGACCGGGCGGTTTCAGCCCCGCATCAGGGGCTAGAAAATCATTTTCTGCCGCGGCGCTCTCCGCCGGGGCGGAAGGCGTTGGGGATGGCGCTGACATGGCACAAAAAAACACAAATGAACGTGGAACCGTGTGGGGAAAAGCCACGCTATGGCCCGCAGAACTCACTGGAGGAAGTGCAGAAGCCCGGAAGGTGCGCGGTGACAAATCCAAAACTAGCTGTGCGGAGGACCACGCTGCTCTGTCGGGGTCAGAAAAGGCGCTGGCAGCCCGACGTGCTGAGAGCGGTAGTGGTGAAGGATAGCTCGTTAGCTGTCTCGGAACATGAGGCTACAGGCTGGAAACTTTCAGCCACGCTCCTCCTTCTTCTTCTTCCGCCGCAGTAAATCTAAATCCAAAAGTCCTCCGGTTACTCTCCCGCTCCCGGCCACCGGACTTAATCCCGTCCACCTCTGGTCTGTCCGTTGTTCTAAGCAGGATGCTGTTTTCGACCTTGCCGCAGTTCCTCCTAGACACCCAGAGCTTCCCTCGCTGCTATTATACACACTGCAGTCGGCATCAGTGAAGGCTGGGCTCCCGCTGATCGAGGGGGGCCTCGCGAGATGTCATCGTTCGTGTCACATTTTTTAAGTTGGAGTTGGGAAATGTCGCGAGAGCTCATCACAATACCCAAACAGTAGGCGTTACGTTTTTTAGGCTGGGAGGAAAAGATGGGACGAGGACGGGCGGGGGTGAAACTGCACCAACAGGCCTACCAATACTCTTTGTGTGTGTGTGTGTGTGTGTGTGTGTGTGTGTGTGTGTGTGTGTGTGTGTGTGTGTGTGTGTGTGTGTGTGTGTGTGTGTGTGTGTGTGTGTGTGTGTGTGTGTTTGTTGCTGTCTGTCTGTCGGGAAGCTTCCTGTATGGCTTCCTATGATAGGCTGTGACAACCGTTAGGGTGTTTGCTGCCATACTGTGGGGTCTAATAGTTAATACCACGGTGTTCTTCGCCAATAGAGTTTTCTTTATGGATGGGTTAAACCTGCAGTAGGTAACTTTTATAAAAATAACGTTTTTCTCATATTTACACAATTTTTCACAGTTTCCTCACTGAAGTACATGAGACAGATAATCTGTGAAAATATCAGATTCCTCTGGCTCCTCCTAGTGCTCCTAATGACATTTGCAAGAATCCACCAGGCCTGACCAAAAACCACCAGTTACCTGAAGTATGAAATTAGTATTTGAACATGCTACTACAACCGGCCCCTTTCCACATGACGTCACTGTGGGAACAAATAATGTTATTTAATGTGTAAACAACTCTTAAGCTGGTTTGTTTGTATACTGACAAGCATCTTTTCTCTTGCTAAACAGACACTGTTTTCATCAACGGAAAGGAGTAGGGGCCAAAGGTGCTGCCAGCCAATCAGGTAAGGGACTCATGAATAATGACATTTACAACCCACAAACAGCCGGGCCATTAGAGGTGGGTGTGGACACGTGGAAACAACATTGGCTGAAACTGAATCACCTTTGTGTGAAAGTGTCACAAATGTGTTTCAGAGTCATTTTCTGTAAATGTCCAAATATACTGCATTGGCTATTAGTTAGTGATATTTCTTGATAAAGTGAAAGTTGTGGGATTGTTTGTGGCACAGAAACATTTTAGATTCAATGTCTGGTGAGCCTGATTATCCACAGGCAATGGGCACATTTTTGAGTTATGTTACATGTTAGTGAGGGAGGAGGATTCAAAAGCAAACAAATGCACACATTTGCTTATCACGTTCGGGGAAATAAACTTAATTTCCTACAACTTACCCTAACCATAACCACTGACCTAAAAATCTTTATTTTTTCCGAATTGGGTTCCATTTCGGGTAAGCCCTATTGTCCCTATTTGGTCTTTAGTCTGAAATATGTTCCCAAAGGTAGCCTAAAACAGATTATTTACTTGAATTTTTTTGAATAAGTGTGCAGCAGAGATGATATATTTTTGTAGTCCAACCCAGAACTTACCATCGCTCTAGTTCCTTTAACAAGAACCCGTTGGATTTTGGACTGTTGCCCAAAATAAGCTCTGTGGTGAACAAAAGTTTATGATACTTAAGGCATTACTTTAGATATTTAAGATACTACTCAAAAATGAAAACCCCTTTATGACTTTTTGAAGTGTAATTGCGATCACCAGAAGTGAAAAGCTAATTTTAGGCTAGAAACGTACTGCACCACTGTTGCATGAATTCATCGGCACTAATCTCAGGAGCGTTTCCAGACTTTATTGGGTGGGGTGGCTCTCAAATAGAGCAGGTCTAGACCGAACTCCTTATAGCATTATTTACAGAGACCCAACAGTACCACCATGAGCAAGCACTTGGCGACGGGGGCAAGGAAAAACTGCCTGTTAAAAGGCAGAAACCTAGGACAGACCCTTCGGCTCCAGGTGTGTGGTCGTCTGCCTCGACCGGTTGGGATGAGAGAGAGAGAGAGAGAGAGAGAGAGAACAGACAGACAGACAGACAGACAGACAGACAGACGCACAGCAACAACAGTAGCAACAACTACACTAATAGTAGTGACTGATGATGATGAACATGAAGAAGATGATGGCGACGACAACAACGATGGGGGACAATGACTAGTGATTACAGTAATAATAGTAACCGTAGTAATAAAAATAATAACAATAATATCAGTTATATTGGAATGGCATTCAAGCAGGACCATGGCAGGAGAACCTGAGAACCTGTGAGACGAGAAAGCACAAGAACTCCGGGGAAGAAGTGAAGTTAGTAACATGCATTAATGGGACATGAATGACTGCAGAAAGAGAGAGAGAGGAAGGAGAGGAGCTCAGTGCATCATGGAAAATCCCCCGATAGTCTAGGCCTATAGCAGCATAACTAGGGGATGGTTCACGACTCACCTGAGCCAGCCCTAACTATAAGCTTTATCAAAGAGGAATGTCTTAAGCCTGTCTGCCTCCCGAACCAAAACTGGAAGCTGGTTCCACAGGAGAGGAGCTTGGTAACTGAAGGCTCTGGCTCCTGTTCTACTTTTAGAGAATATAGGAACCACAAGTAGCCCTGCATTCAGAGAATGCAGTGTTCTAGAGGGGTAATAGGGTGCTATGAGCTCTTTAAGATATGAAGGGGCCTGACCATGAAGAGCTTTTTAGGTGAGGAGGACGATTTTAAATTCTGTTCTAAATTTTACAGGGAGCCAGTGCAGGAAGCTAGTACAGGAGAGATGTGATTTATTTTCCTAGTTCCTGTCAGTACTCGTGCTGCAGTGTTCTGAATTAATTGGAGTGTTTTAATGGACTTATTGGGGCAACCTGATAATAAGGAATTGCAGTAATCCTGCCTAGAAGTAACAAATGCATGGATTAGTTTTTCTGCATCCGTCTGTGACAGGATGTGTCTAATTTTTGTAATATTACGTAAATGAAAAAAGGCAGTCCTAGAGTTTAACATCAGAAAATTGCAGCTCATCCAGGATTTTATGTCCTTAAGACATGTTTGTAATTTAGATAATTGATTAATTCCATTGTGCTTGATCGATAGATATAACTGTGTATCATCTGCATAGCAATGAAAGTTAATGGAGTGATTCCTAATAATGTTGCCTAAGGGAAGCATATACTGTATAAAGTGAATAGTATTGGACCAAGTACAGAACCTTGTGGAACTCCATGACTAACTGTAGTAATTATGGAAGATTCATCGCTAACATGTACAAACTGAGAACGATCTGATAAGTATAACCTAAACCAGCTTAGTGCGGTTCCTTTAATGCCAATTTGATGCTGAAGTCTCTGTAAAAGAATATCATGGTCAATGGTGTCAAATGCAGCACTAAGATCTAATAATACAAGTACATATTGTCGGAAGCAATCAAAAGGTCATTATTAAAGGGGAACTTGGCAACTATTTCAACTTAATAAACCCATTTAGAAATCATTTGGATGGTTAAATGGCCTGTTCCGGTGAAAATGGTGACTTTCCCCACTCCCCAGGCGGAAAACCAACCTTGCAACTTTGGGACTACCATTCCGTTAAGTTGGAAATAGGAAGTATCGTGAGAAGCGAGAACGAGTGAGAAACACAAACTGCTTTGCGGCAATTCCACATAAACGCACACGCCCCCCTCAATACCGGTTAGCCACGCCAGCTATAAGAATAAGCGACGATGAATGTATTACCCACCTCGGTAGACATTGCCCCACACGAAAAAGTTGCCCGGCAACAAATGCACATCAGCAGCGGTAGAAAGGGGGAGGAGGGTGCCGCAAGTGAGTTTTTTTACGACAGTGTTTTGAAATATACGTCCCAGAGCTGTAGGGGGAGCTCGTTGATTGATGAACTCTAAATCCTGACTGAAAATCCTCAAATAAGCTATTGTTATGTAGAAAGTCACAAAACTGTTTGGCGACTACTTTCTCCAGAATCTTAGAGAGGAAGGGGAGGTTAGAAATCGGTAGTTGCCTATGCCCCTGGGGCAAGGTGGTCTTTTTAGGAGGGGTTTAATTACAATTTTGGACCCCAGTATGCTAAACAAAAAATAATATATTTATACCACATGCAAAAAACTGCATGGGATTGGCAAAAAGTGTGTGTGTCTGCAAAGGGGAGACTCGTGGGTACCTGTAGAATCCATTTTCATTAATTTATCTTGAAGTCAGAGGTCAAAGTGTGCCTTTTTTTGCCTAACTTTGGAGGATTATTTAGCATCCTCCCCGACATGCTAGCATACCAGTTAAGATACCTGTATCTTCAATAGCTTTAACAGGGAGCCTGCTACAGACTCTGAAAGAGTCTGTGTGGAATAGGAAAGGACAATGGGGTGGCACATGGATGGGCAATGGAGTGGCACAGGGGTGGCCACCTGAGGATATAAGTATCCTGGATACAGGTACTGGCATCTTGTGCTGGGGAAGCCATTCAGTCCCGCCCATACATCCAGCCAACTAAATTGCGAGCTGTCAGCTCAGCTGTCAATCATGAAGTGAAACCCCCTTTTTATGTTGTCAAATAACTAATTAAAACCAAAGTGATCAGAAAAAGGAATGCTTGAACATACAGCATTGTGATAAGATCTACCTAAATACACAAAAAAAGACTTTGTTTGTTTTTTCACTTTCAGCGGGCTGTCATGTTGTCCTTTATATATGTCGATGGTCTGCATGGTTGCCATATTGCAAGGCTGATTTTCATGAAATGTGGCTTGTTAAACGTGTGAGAAATTGAACCTGATGCTGGTTCCTTGCTGGAACTGATTCAGTTACTAGGCGGTTGGGTCTAGTCAGCTCTAAACCAAAACATCAACCTTCTGAATAGCCACATCTTCCACTGGGAACTTCCACTTCCAATCAGACAACAGACAAGTGTAAATTAATTTCTCCCCAAAATTCACATTTCCATATCTATTGTATTATAAAAACAATTAAATAACCAAGACTATTTTAGACTTCAGTAACATCATTTTGGTTTTTGTTTTTTTGAGCAGACTTAAATAAAAAGAAACAGACAGAGAGATTTATTACAGGGCAACGTTTGACTTTATGTGGACCTTGTAAAAGCTGTAAAGTTTGAGTTTGCAAGAGCAGGAGTATAAACACAATGAGGCTGTAAAGGCGGACTACTGAGTGGGTAAGTCTCTGTGTTTTAATGTCACTGACAACATCTGTGGTATAATTTAGCCACTTTCTATATCTATTGTATTATAAAAACAATTAAATAAACAAGACTATTTTAGACTTCAGTAACATCATTTCATCATCATCATTTTTGTTTTTGTTTTTTTGAGTAGACTTTGAAATAAAATGAAACAGACTGGGGGTGCCCGGTTAGCTCAGTTCGTAGAGCTGGCAACCCATGTACTGAAGTCCTTGCTGCAGCAGCCCAGGCTTCGAATCCGACCTGCAACCCTTTGCTGCGTGTCATCCCCTCTGTCTCTGCCCCTATTTCCTGTTTGTCTTCAGCTGTCACTATCCAATAAAGGCAAAAAAGAGAGAAACAGACTGAGATTTATTACAGGGCAACCTTTGACTTTATGTGGACCTTGAAAGATCCAAACCTTTAGGATCTGGTCTTAAGCGGGTCAGCTTTACTTCCTAGTAAACTTAAACCTAAGGTACATATGGCTGTTAAATTTTAAATGATTCTGTTTTGGATCTCTCCGTAGAAAAACGCAGAACTTTTCAAACTAATTTTATTATTATTATTATTATTATTTATTTATTTATTTAGTTTAGTTTTTTAGTTTTTTAATATTGTTAAATGTGTTAAAATGCAACGGTTCATTTGCTGGGTGAATTTTGTATGTTCATACATCCCAACGCCACACATGTCTGACCTCCCAAATATAGTGACCATGCAGAGAAATCGAGAATGCGCTCTGCCTTGGTTACTCAGCTGCAGTTATGTCTACCTTAAGTGTTTGTAAATCCCGTATTCCAGACCATTTCAGGACAATTTGATTAGATTGTTCATGTTCTCCACTGGGAAGTTATACTTTCCTCCCCTCTGTGGCTCAGAGGCAGAGCGGGTCATTCCTTAATCGGAAGGTTGTGGGTTCGATCCCCGGCTCCTGGTGCCTCCTGTCAAAGTATCCTTGAGCAAGATACTGAACCTCATATTGCTCCCGATGCTGTGCATCGGTGTATGAATGTTAGTTTCTGTTCGATGGACTTTGCCATCACTGTGTGAAAAGACTGAGTGGTCGGAAGACTATACAAGTACAGGTCCATTTACCATTTACCATATAAATCTGTGTAAAGTATGATCCGGTAGACTTGGATACAGAGTAGTGCTCCTGACTTTACTGCAGTTTTATGCACAGTTTGCTGTATTTTTTTTGCACAATACATTATATGTTGTGTATAGTGTAGACTTGTGTATTGTGAGTTGTACTTTAATCAATGTTTTAATGTTTTGTGAGGTTTATTGTTATAATCGTCTTTATGGTGAAACCGAAGACAATAAAGTTTTTTATTATTATTATTATTATTTATTTGTATATTATCAGTTAACCCCATCGTAGTAGATTGTAATTATAGCTGATAGTAGCTAGACAGTACACTGACAGCCCCCTCCCTCGTATATTTTAGAGATTACTGGGGGCAGATAGAACAACCATAATCAGGTGTTAGCCGATCACACAGAGACGCAAACAAAAATGCATTGCCTGCACAAACATTGTTTTACTATGGTGTGTGCCTGGCATGTGCTCTTGTCTTGTGCAGCGTATTCTGTTTTTCTAGCAGTTTTTAGATAGATGTAAGTTCAACCTTTTCAGTCGCATTCTTGGAACCACACTGTAGATTGGTCACAGCTCTATTTTCCATATTTCCACATAATAATAAATTCAACAGAGGGTGGCACAGAGGTGAGCCATCCGTTTCTGTGACCAGGTTCATGACACCCAGTAACTCATCAGTTAAACAGAATCCCTGTATTCCCAGCCCTGATCTTTTCCTAGAGAGTCCGCCTAATTATTAACCCAATTATTGTTGACCCTTAGAAATCACAGCAGAAGTTTCCTCAATCGCTGCTTTGATCTTTAACCCCTATAATCACAATGGAATCCTCTCGCTAGAAAAGACATTTCCCAATCGGAGCAGCATCTGTGTCTTCTCCTTTAAGGAATGTAGTGACTCAGCAAGGTTCTCATCCGACAGCTTTGTCCGTTGGTTTTGAGTCCCTGTTAATGTTAAGCATCCCATCCTCATTAGTCCTAGTTGTTGTTTGAGCATTTGTCTCCATTTTTTTCCCTTCCTTGGACCACTTTTGATAGGTACTGACCCTTGCAGACCGGGAACACCCCACAAGAGCTGCAGTTTTGGAGATGCTCTGACCCAGTCGTCTAGCTATCACAATGTGGCCCTTGTCAAAGTCGCTCAAATCCTCACGCTGCCCATTTTTCCTGCTTCTAACACATCAACCTTGAGGACAAATTGTTCACTTGCTGCCCAATATATCCCACCCACTGACAGGAGCCATGATAACCAGATAATCAATGTTATTCACTTTATCTGGTCATAATGTTATGGTTGATCGGTGTAAATAAATAAATATACACACTATATATTAAATAAAAATAAAATAGAAAAATACAGGATGTAATAGTAATAGAAAAAAATATTACTTCAATTCAATTTTATTTGTATAGCGCCAATTCATAACAGAACACTTTTCAAATAGAGCAGGTTTAGACCGAACTCCTCATAATATTATTTACAGAGACACAAAGAGAGACAGAGAGTGACAGAAGGAGAGAGAGAACAGAGGTAACGACAGAGAGACAGAGACAAAGGTGCACAGCAACAACAGTAGCAACAACTACACTAATAGCAGTGACTGATGATGATGAACATGAAGTAGATGACGACGATGACAACAACAACGATGGGGGACAATGAGCAGTGATTATATTAATAATAGTATCTGTAGTAATAATAATAATAATAATAATAATAATATCAGTGATATTAGCAATGGCAGTCAAGCAGGACCATGGCAGGAGGCCCCACCAGGATCCATGAGAACCTGCGAGACGAGAAAGCACAAGAACTCTGGGGAAGAAGTGAAGTTAGTAACATGCATTAATGGAACATGAATGAGTGCAGAAAGAGAGGGAGAGGATGAGAGGAGCTCAGTGCATCATGGGAAATCCCCCAGCAGTCCAGGCCTATAGCAGCATAACTAAGGGATGGTTCAGGACTCACCTGAGCCAACCCTAACTATAAGCTTTATCAAAGAGGAACGTCTTAAGCCTACTCATCAACGTCTTAAGCCTACTCATCATCCGATGCTGGCTCTCCCTCCCTCCTCATCCTCCTGGGCCTTTCTGCTGTATTTGATACTGTCGACCATGGCATTCTTTTAAACCGGCTCCACCTCACCACTGAACTCAATGACACTGCCCTCAGTTGGTTCAAATCACACCTCACAACCCGGACAGAATACTTCTCCGTGGGACACTCCAAATCAAATCCACACAGTCACTTGCGGTGTCCCCCAGGGGTCAGTCCTTGGCCCCATCCTCTTCATCCTCTACCTCACCCCCATGGCCAAATCATCAGCCGTCACAAAATTTCCTTCCACTGCTATGCCGATGACACACAGCTCTATGTAAATGTCACAGCTGCAACCCCACCCTCGCATTCGTCCCCATCTAAACTCACCACCTGTCTGGAGGAGATAAAGGTATGGATGGAGCACAACTTCCTTCAACTCAACAGCTCCAAAACCGAAGCCATCCTGGTTGGCACCCCTCACCAGACCAAATCATCATCCATAACCTGCATCACCTTTACTGGCTCCAACATCCCCCTCTCATCAATAGTCACAAATCTTGGTGTAAAAATTGACTCCCAACTCACTTTTGAAGCCCATATAAATCACCTATGTAAGACCTCCTTCCACCACCTCCGTAACATTTCCACACTCCGCCCCATTCTCTCCCTGTCAGATGCCGAAAAGCTGGTTCATGTCTTTGTCTCCTCCAGACTGGACTACTGTAACACACTTCTCATTGGGATTCCTGGCAAGAGTCTGCAGAGGCTTCAGTACATCCAAAACTCTGCAGCTAGGATCCTGATGAGAGTGCGGAAACATGAGCACATTACCCCAAAGACATTTCTTTTTAGCAAAGCTTTTGGTCCCTTTTAGATGTTTTTTTTTTTACTTTTTTTTTTTTTTTTTTACTCTTTTTCTCCTTTTCTTATTTTTTAAAATGCTCATCTTTTTTGTTTCTAACCTGTAGCACTTTGAGATCTTTTGATGAAAAGGGCATTATAAATAAAATGTATTATTATTATTATTATTAAATGTGGAGATGGTGTCTGCCTCCCGAACCAAAACTGGAAGCTGGTTCCACAGGAGAGGAGCTTGGTAGCTGAAGGCTCTGGCTCCTGTTCTACTTTTAGAGACTATAGGAACCACATTGCATAAGCGTTATCCTTTTTCTTTATTTTATTTTTTTTAATTAGTGCTATATTGGTGACAGTGACATAGAAGGTATACAAGTAGTCATAATGGATATACATAGTCATAAAGAATAGACATACATATAATATAACAAAATGATGATTACAGTGATGTATGTAACGACATGGTAGAAGAGTCCGGCAGTAGAAATCAGTAGGATAGGTGTGGGTAGTGTGAGTGTGTAAGTTGGTGTGTGGGGTGGGAAGGATTGCATTTGCAAGAAGCAAAACAATTAAATAAATAAATAAATACAAATATGTAATATATGTAATAATATTATATATGTATGTATGTAGAGTTAACTTCATAGTGATAATACGTTTATGGTGTAACAAGAATAGTGTAATAATAATATAGTAGTTAAATAATATGATATAATAGTACTATGATAATCATTACAGTACAGTCTAATAATAACCAATATGACGCACAGTATTGTATTTATAACAGAGGGGAGGCCCAGCCCCCCGGCAACACAACTAGAAGCCCCAGCAGGAGACAGTCATGTAGCATTATGATAAAAATATATCTCTAAAAATATTGTCTTGAAGGATGGATGAACTTGCATAAACATTACATCAGGACATAGTGGTATAGTGTAAAAATAAATATAATTGCAACAAAAATATGTAGAGCCACATAATTGCACAGGACATATAACATAATAATTTAAAAAATGTGTATTACAAGAAAAACATTTATTTTTAAATTATTATTATCATAGCAGTGGTTCCCAACTAGATTGTTGCCAAAGGTGGTAGCAAGGCCTTCTTGATTTATTTATATTTGGTGTAAGAAAACTTAAAAAACAATAGGCCTATATGTGAGCATTTGGTTCACTTCTGTGAAGAAAAGTAAATTGTATAGAACAATGGCAAACAAAGGGTCAGTGGGAAGAAAACACGGAATTTGTCAAAAAGAAACCTATTAAGTCTGTATGATTGTTAAAAAGATTATTAAAAATACATAATACAGACAGAGAATTGTAGGAAAACAGAAACAATATTTTGCTCAAAAGCCATCCAAATCACTCCTTTTACACACACTTCATGCAGTTACCTGTTTCACTGTTTGGTTTCATTGTACAGTTTTGAATATATATACAAAAAATAAGTCTTGGTCAGAGGCCGTCAGTTTACTAAATGATAGAAAAGGGGTCCCTTAGGGATGCTAAAATACTATTTCAGACAGGCTAAAGATGCAAGACAGATCAAAGATGACAATTTCCAGCACAAACACATGCAGCTGGACAGTCGAAAAACTTTCAGCCATTTCAGTGTCCTTGTTGCACTTAGAACTCATAGAGCAGTATAGACCCCACGGGGGAAATAGAACACTGGTTATTATTTCATTCATCATTTGTAAAATTGCCATATTATAAAGACAAAATCAAAAATGTAATGTAATTATAATCTAATGACACATTTTGTCAAGTGTAATGTGGGCTAAAACATTTAGAATGGCCCAAACAGCCCACCAGTAGGACATAAGCACACAGAAACTGAGGCTGGCTGCCTGTATTGCAGCAGGGTGCTGATAATCACACTGTGACAGGTTCTGCTATATCTTTTCACAGCGGCGCAGAAGGTCAGACCCCCGAGATAGTTTCTGCTGCTCATTAGCCAGGAGGTGCTAATCCAGTTAATGCTGCTCCCTACAGCAGGAGATCTTTACTGTGACACACTCAGTCCTGTGTTACTCTCACTGCATTCACTCGAACATGCAGCACGATACTGAACGCCAAATTGCACCCAATGCTGTGCATCGGTGTATGAATTAATTATTGTTTCGTTTGATGGGCTTTGCCATCACTGTGTGAAAGGGTGAATGAGGCACGTAGTTTTCTGGAGGTTCAGATGAGTGTAAAGTTGGACCAAAATGTGGACTGACAAAAAACAGGCCATAATAGCTTATTATGGGGCCCTATTGCATATTTTTTTTCTTATCAAAGGAGGTTTTGGGGGACAGATGAAAATATATTTTGTTTGAAATACTTTTTTTTTTTTAAAATTCAATTCAATTCAATTCAATTTTATTTTATTTGTATAGCGCCAATTCATAACAGAAGTTATCTCAGGACACTTTTCAAATAGAGCAGGTCTAGACCAAACTCTTGCAAAGAAACGACTAAAGCAAGAAACCTATAGATAAAAACCTGGTTGTCTTCTGTCAAGCCGTGCACAGTTTCAATATCAGATCAGGAGGTAAAAATAACAGCTTCAGCCTTATTCTGCACCGTACAATTTCTGATGAAAACCCATGAAAGATTATAATGAGTGTGACCGAAAGTAGTGAACTTGAATCTCTGTAGGGATGATGTATTTCCAGGCCAACCTGGAGGTTAGCATCGCCCTGGTTCCTTCGACAAAAAGCCAATGGGAATTTACGATTGGTTTATTGTATAAAATATGCTCTGTGGCAACCAAAGATTTATGACACTTACACGTTTGGGTCAGCAAGATAATATTATAATATAATATTTTCATAGTAGATATTTGGCCTGTCAGCACAGAGACATCAAGACAGAATTTGTGTTTGTCCATGAGGTTTGTGATGGTAAAGTTGTTTTTTTTTTTTTTTTTTAAACAAATAAAAAAGAGTTCAGTGGTTATAGTTGTCATCGTGTGGAGTTTGTGCATGTTCTGTTTCTTCCCACAGTCTGATGACAGACAGGTGAGCTGCCAACTCTAAATGGCCTGTAAACGTGTGAATGGGATTAGAGTATCTGTTAGTCCTAGAATACATTGGGGATTTATGCATGTACCACAGAAGACTCCAGGCACAAGTGTTTTGATGGATGGATGGATAAAAAAGTCTTATTTTTTTTTACATTTCTTTGACTTTTTTTGCAGCTTTGTGATTTTCTGTTCCTCTCCTACCTCACTTTCCTCATATGTGCACAGACACTCCATACCTGCTCTTCATCATTTTAGATCCCCCTTTTGAATAATCCAAGTCATTTCTTAATTAGTGCTAATTAAGGATTTGATTCAAGCTGAACATCTGAAGCTGCCGTGCAAACACTTGAATTGCTCAAAGCAAGCTCTCAGTGAAGTGAACATGGAGCACATTTACGAACTAGCAAAGCAAACCCGTCCAAGTGAGTCCATAGTAGAAATAAGGATCAAACTGGGGAAATTAAATTCCTTACTTTACTCTCTTACAGGCATTGCTGAAATTTCAGAAAAATGGGGAAACAGTATAGAATGAGGATGTTTAATTTTGGCACCATGTAACTAAGGGTGTGTTGTCTATCATAGGTACACGTAGAACAGATTGTTTAAAGATGTCGAAGGTGTTGAGTATGTTTGAAGAAAGAGGACAAGAAAGTAGGGAAGAAAATTATAAACTGGCAGACCTTCCAGATATGGGAGAGAAGCAGAAAGATGGAAATGAAGAGAAAGATTAAGAGAGCAGAAGAAGAGAAAGATGGAAAAGAGAAATGTAGGGCCAGAAGGAGGGCTAAACCTCCTCCGTATTCTGTCTCCGTGCCTGCAAGAATGCCTACAGGAGGGGAAGAACCCCTCTAGCTCAGCAACTCCAGAAAGACCTACTATACCCTGACCTGTCCAATCTCTCTCTGAATCCTACAACAGTGACTGGGAAAGGGCAGGGACAAACTAATTTTGCTTCTCCTAGGAAATCTCTTTTGTCACTAGCCGGCACCTACGACCACTGGCTTGGGAACCAAAAGGACAAAAGGGTGTGATGATGATATTCCCAGACTGGGGGTTGGTGACTGTCTGGACACACATCTTGCACATTGAAAGAAACAAGGGAAACATGGATTTTAACCGGATGAGAAAACAAAGAGAACAGGAGAGAGATGGCAGTCAGGAAAAACTGTAGTAGAGGGAGTATGTGGACAGATTTCTCGACCTTCATCCCTTATTCTATCGGGTGAGAAGGACAATATCCAGAGGAATTGTGGCCAGAGGCAGCAAC